GAAATATACTTGGAATAATTCTCGTGATCGTGCAATCCTATCCTGGCCGTGATTTTCGCGTTTCTCATTTCGCAAGTGGCGTTACAACCGTTCTTCAAACAGGTCCAAACGAGCAGGTTATCAACGTGACTGGTCAGCTTGTACACTTGCTTGTGGAGGACGAGGTAGTCAGGAATCCTGATGTTTTTGATGAAGGTGAAGAATCCTGGAAAGTGGGGAGCTGGAGTACTGATCAAGGAAGATGCGGCCGTGTTCCATCCCATCACCAAAGTCGCTACTTCTTTCTAAATACTCACTTGGATTCAATAGGTTTGTAGCCTTTCTCACCAACCGGAGATTTTCTTTTTTATCTCTCTCGTTTTTGAAATTCAGCAAATTTGCGCAAGTTATACTAAGTGACATATAAATCCGAACACCCAGTTTAAATGGTTTTATTTTAATAAAATTTCGTATAAGTACTTAATGAAGCATAATAAGTAAATGATAAAAATTTCAAAATGATTGCACTGCTTTAAAGCCCTTTGACCTTTAATAATGTGTGGATGCACCCTGATGTGCTACGCATTCTCCAACGCGCCTAGACATGCTTCTGATCAGGTGGTCAATGTCCTCCTGTGGTATCTCATTCCAGGCAACCACCAACTCCTCTCGAAGTGCTTCTAGAGTCTGAGGAGGACGTTGCAAATTGAGCAATCTCCTACCCATCATATCCCACACGTGCTCAATTGGGGATAAGTCGGGAGATCTTGGTGGCCATGGTAACAATGTGACATCATTATGTTGAAAGAAGTCTATTGTGACTCTTGCAACATGTGGTCGGGCATTATCTTGTTGGAAAGTTGGATCTGCCAGGGTGTCAAGATAGGGTAAAAGATGGGGTTCTAGAACTTCGTGGATATAACGCTGCGCTGATGAAGATTAAAGGTGACCTGGAACCATAAGCTATAGCACCCCAAACCATAACTCCAACAGTGTGATGAACATGTCTTTCAACAAAAAACTGTGGATTCCTCCTTTCACCACGTGGCCTTCTAACCCTGGCACGACCATCGTGCATGTCTAAACAAAATCGAGACTCGTCACTAAAGACATTACTGTTCCATTCCTGATCCCAGAGTGACCGTTGTCTGCACCACTCAAGGCGATTACGTCGGTGTTCTCGAGTTAAAGGAGGACCCAGTGTGGCCGGTATGAAAACAAGCCAAAACTTCTCATTCGTCGGTAAACACTTCGCATGCCAATAGGTCTTCCGTGTTCTGCAAACCATTCATTTGCAATGGACCTGGTAGTGGAGAAACGGTCCCTTAAGGCCAATAATCTTAGGCGGCAATCTTCACGGTCTGTTGTTCCACGGCGGCGTCCAGTGCTCCTTGCTCTTTGCGTACGGCCTTCTCGAAGCCATGCCTGACAACACCTAACCACAGTGTCTACACTTCTTTGCACTCTAACTGCAATTGCCCGAAAAGAAAGTCCAGCTTCCCGAAGTCCCACTATACGGCCCCTATCAAACTCACTAAGTTGACGAAATCGTACAGGCATCGTAACCGATCGTAAAGGATGCCAAGAACCAAAATCCGCCAACGTTGATTCTTTACTGCGATTGAAATATTCATTTTTAGAGCGTTAGTGAATTAAAAAAAAAGCAGTATAAAAACCGGAATGTCCAACTGATAAGGCTGAAAATTTTTTCACTTGTTATTTACAGTAAGATAAATACATTCACCAACTTTTATTAAAATAAAACCATTTAAACTGGGTGTTCGGATTTATATGTCACTTAGTATATTTCCAGGGTTAGGCATACATCTCAAGAAGCGTATTTGAAGCAAAAAAAAACAAGGAAATTATCAAAACAGATTAATAACAATCCTCATTAACGTGCTCCAGTGGCGGAGATACAGGGGATTAGAGGCATGATTTTTTCAAATAAAATAGTTCAGCACTATTTTTCTTTTCGAAACGCGCAATATTCTGAATTTTACCTTCAATTTGTTACACATAATTACTCTTGAGTTTTTTCTCCTAGAGAGCATTGTTTTTATAAAAAAAACAAATTATATAATATAATGATATGCGAATATTTAAGGGTGTCAATCAAAAAATTATTGTTAGTTTGCTCTATAAACTATGGTCCAAAAATGTTTCCTTACAAAAACTCGGGGTGTTGTTTTAGGAAAAAAATGGAAATTAATTAATATTTTCAGAACAGCTTCAGATATTTCACTGATATCTAGTACGTAGTCAAAGTTAATAAAGTAGCATATTTTTCAATGCAAAAATAGTGTTCAGCTCTAACAGTGGCCTGCGTACGGGTATTGACTTAGACATTTTCCAAGAAAAAAATGGTACGCCAATGATTTTTTGCCCAATAAAAATTATTTTTGAATTCCCCGTTCAATTTAAAACAAATGATCTCCCTTGAATTGTTTTCCTTCAATGCACCATTTTTGAGTAAAAAAATAAAAACCGTTCTATTGTCTAACATGCAAAATTATTATCAATTTAATTGGAAAAATAAAACACATTAGGGGTAATGAACAACAATAATTTTGGCAAACTATCTCCCAAGAAAGGTCAAGGCCTCCTATTTTATTTTGAAACTAATTGTACCTCGGCTCTTCAGGACTGATCTAATTTGTTTTATTTTCATTTTTACGAAAACAGTGCATTGTAGGAAAAAACACAAAAGGAATGCGATTTCTCTAAATAACGTAACCAGGTATCCCACCCCTCTCAAACTCGGAAAGTTGAGTGAAACTAGCGCGTGATAATGCAATGAAACAACAATGAAACAAATGGGACCAACACAGAAAAATCACTGGATATTGTTCGGATCCTGATATGACAAAAAAGTCTTTACGAAAAAAGTACGGCTTGGAATGTCTTCAACATTTTATCAGCGTATACTTTCATGATAGCAAATATTTTTTTATCAAAATTCAATAAATGATTCTGGGTGTCTGCAGATTAACCGACCACTCTCAAACTCGGAAAGTTGAGTGAAACTAGCGCGTGATAATGCAATGAAACAACAATGAAACAAATGGGTCCAACACAGAAAAATCACTGGATATTGTTCGGGTCCTGATATGAAAAAAAAGCCTTTACGAAAAAAGTACGGCTTGGAATGTCTTAAACATTTTATCGGCGTATACTTTCATGATAGCAAATATTTTTTTATCAAAACTCAATAAATGATTCTGGGTGTTTGCAGATTAACCGACCACTCTCAAACTCGGAAAGTTGAGTGAACTAGCGCGTGATAATGCAATGAAACAACAATGAAACAAATGGGACCAACACAGAAAAATCACTGGACATTGTTCGGATCCTGATATGACAAAAAAGCCTTTACGAAAAAAGTACGGCTTGGAATGTCTTCAACATTTTATCAGCGTATACTTTCATGATAGCAAATATTTTTTTATCAAAATTCAATAAATGATTCTGGGTGTTTGCAGATTAACCGACCACTCTCAAACTCGGAAAGTTGAGTGAAACTAGCGCGTGATAATGCAATGAAACAACAATGAAACAAATGGGTCCAACACAGAAAAATCACTGGATATTTTTCGGGTCCTAATATGACAAAAAAGCCTTTACGAAAAAAGTACGGCTTGGAATGTCTTCAACATTTTATCAGCGTATACTTTCATGATAGCAAATATTTTTTTATCAAAATTCAATAAATGATTCTGGGTGTTTGCAGATTAACCGACCACTCTCAAACTCGGTAAGTTGAGGGAAATTAGCGCGTGATAATGCAATGAAACAACAATGAAACAAATGGGACCAACACAGAAAAATCACTGGATATTGTTCGGATCCTGATATGACAAAAAAGCCTTTACGAAAAAAGTACGGCTTGGAATGTCTTCAACATTTTATCGGCGAATACTTTCATGATAGCAAATATTTTTTTATCAAAATTCAATAAATGATTCTGGGTGTTTACAGATTAACCGACCACTCTGAAACTCGGAAAGTTGAGTGAAATTAGCGCGTGATAATGCAATGAAACAACAATGAAACAAATGGGACCAATACAGAAAAATCACTGGATATTGTTCGGATCCTGATATGACAAAAAAGCCTTTACGAAAAAAGTACGGCTTGGAATGTCTTCAACATTTTATCGGCGTATACTTTCATGATAGCAAAAATTTTTTTAACAAAATTCAATAAATGATTCTGGGTGTTTACAGATTAACCGACCACTCTCAAACTCGGAAAGTAGACTGAAATTAGCGCGTGATAATGCAATGAAACAACAATGAAACAAATGGGACCAACACAGAAAAATCACTGGACATTGTTCGGATCCTGATATGACAAAAAAGCCTTTACGAAAAAAGTACGGCTTGTAATGTATTCAACATTTTATCGGCGTATACTTTCATGATAGCAAATATTTTTTTATCAAAATTCAATAAATGATTCTGGGTGTTTGCAGATTAACCGACCACTCTCAAACTCGGAAAGTTGAGTGAAACTAGCGCGTGATAATGCAATGAAACAACAATGAAACAAATGGGTCCAACAGAAAAATCACTGGATATTGTTCGGGTCCTGATATGACAAAAAAGCCTTTACGAAAAAAGTACGGCTTGGAATGTCCTCAACATTTTATCAGTGTATACTTTCATGATAGCAAATATTTTTTTATCAAAATTCGATAAATAATTCTGGGTGTTGCATTTTATATGTCAATTATTTCCTATATTATCTTACCAGTATTTCGCTTATCTTTCTTATAAATAAACGTTGGAACAACTTCTGGGAAAGTATTCTATAATTTTGGAACGATATAACAATATGCCTCCCAGGAAAGAAAAAAAAAATACTTCTCTGCAGGTTCCTGAGAATTTGCTGATTTAAATGCTGATTTCGCCGAGAAAATAATTTTAATTCTAAATTATTTTCAGTGATCAACTGGACTTTCCTAAACCCCTTGTACAGGGATGTGATGACTTAAGGGTAATAAAATGATGCATGAGCTTGCAGCATAAAAGGAACCTTTATTTCAATGAATACATAGGAATTTTAAAAAATCGAGGAAACGTAAACTTTCGATTTCAAATAAATAATTCATGCTTGGTAAAAAAAAGATTGTTTCCAATCGATAATACCAACAATAACATAACATGCAAAACGAGAAAATAAAAAAAACGGACATGAACACATCCACAAACATAACAGATATCAGAAAAACATGAAACGTAATAAAAATGCTAGATATTAAAAAATCCTATTTTAATCTTGAGATCTCTTCCAACGTGTCATCTTGTAACGAATTCTTTCAAATGGTAGCTCTCTAGCAGCATTTGGATACCTGAAAATAAAATAAAACTACCTAGATTCTTCCATATTTGCTAACTCAAATCCTCAATCCTAATACACAGAGTGACATAAAAAGGTAAACTCAAACTTTAGAAGTTTGAGTACCGCCCTGTCTCAATAATAATATTATGTGCTCGTGTTTGGCAACAACGGATATAATCCGCCTTATCGGTTCATCGCATCGGAAACAAAAAAGCGAAAGAATTTGAAACGCTTATCACGATGTTTTTACTACAATTTTATTCAGTTGTATTCAGTCAATGTGTCAGTCGGCAACGCGTGAGTGAATAGTGGTGTTTGTTGCGTGACTCAAACGAAATAAAAAATGGCACTTGTTTACGAAAATGCTGAACTTGTGGACTTGATTCTTATTTACGGGGGGGGGGGGGGGGGGGTGGTGTACCCGTGTTGGCGAAATCTGTGGCGATAAATTTGAGCTGCAAGTAAACTAACAACATGTCGGCGAACTCTTGATTCGAGAACATTGTAAATAAACACGACGACGTACGCGAACAAAAACAAAACAACATACTAACCACTGTTACCGTTTGCGATCGATTGCCGGTGCGATAAGAGTGATGATGACCGACGCGCTGTTGTCATGTGTGTTTTAAATATTCAATTTAATGAAACTTACTTACTGACTACAGATTTTGGCTTAACTTAGAAAAACTTAATGCCATTTATTTGTTAATTACCCAATTTAAACGTTTTAGATTACATTATAAAAATTATAATAAGAATAAAGCCATTTAGACAAAAACCTTTTGACTTTTGGACCATGGGTCATATGAACTTTTTGACTAGTTTTGACCCCCCCCCCCTCCCCGCCTATTACCTATTTCAATACTGATTACCATAACCTTTACACCATATATAAGGCATCCTCAAGGAAATACTATACATTGGACCGTGAAATGACTATACTTACACTTCTGATAGAGTAGTATAAATAGTCCGAATGGGTACGTTGGGATTCTTCAGTGCCACCGTTTTGAGTTCCCTCACGAAGACAATCTTCTCTTCGGCAGCGTAGTCCGGTGGATGGTTGTGAGGTTTCAGCACTTTTATATCCTGAATAGTTCCGGTTGCAGGCATGGCAGCTCTCGCATGGCACCCAAGGCGCTTGTATTCCATACATCGCAAATAGCTAACGATACAAGCATAAAAGGAACGGTTGTTTATTTTAGTTGTCGAAATATATTTAACAAAAAACTAAAGACAAAAGCAGAGTTGGTGAATGCAAAAAACTGATGAGACATCGACATTTTACTTTGCATGCCAAAACCAGCGAGGAAGTATTGTAAAATTTAGAAATTGAGATATCATGTTTTTGTGAGAAAGCTTGCGAAGGGGTGGCAGATAAAAAATTCATTTTCGCTCCCAAGAAAATGTTGTACCTCAAAAAAATGCTCTATTATAGAGGCAATTTATAGGCTAGATGTCATAGTGTGGAAAAACTTTTGGGGGATGTCAGATGAAAAAATATAAATAAAAATTCATTTTACCCCCAAGGAAATGATTCCTCAAAACGAGTTGACCCTCAAAAAAATGCTTTATTATAGAGACAATTTATAAGCTAGGTGACATGGTGAGAGAAAGCTTCTGCTGGTGGGCAGATAAGAAATATAAATAAAAATTCATTTCATTTTCACCCCCAAGATAATGAGTCCCCAAAACAAGTTGTACCTCAAAAAAATGCTCTATTATAGAGGCAATTTATAGGCTAGATGTCATTGTGTGGAGGAACTTTTGGGGGATGACAGATTAAAAAATATAAATAAAAATTAATTTTACCCCCAAGGAAATGATTCCCCAAAACGAGTTGTACCTCAAAAAAATGCTCTATTATAGAGGCAATTTATAGGCTAGATGTCATTGTGTGGAGAAACTTTTGGGGGATGTCAGATGAAAAAATATAAATAAAAATTAATTTTACCCCCAAGGAAATGAATCCCCAAAACGAGTTGTACCTCAAAAAAATGCTCTATTATAGAGGCAATTTATAGGCTAGATGTCATTGTGTGGAGAAACTTTTGGGGGATGTCAGATGAAAAAATATAAATAAAAATTAATTTTACCCCCAAGGAAATGATTCCCCAAAACGAGTTGTACCTCAAAAAAATGCTCTATCATAGAGACAGTTTATATGCTAGATGACATGGTGAGAGAAAGCTTCTGAAGAGGTGGGCAGATAAGAAATATAAACAAAAATTCAATTTCACCCCCAAGGAAATGATTCCCCAAAACGAGTTGTACCTCAAAAAAATGCTCTATTATAGAGACATTTTATAGGGTACATGCTATGGTGAGAGAAAGCTTCTGAAGCGGTGGGCAGATAAGAAATATAAACAAAAATTCAATTTCACCCCCAAGGAAATGATTCCCCAAAACGAGTTGTACCTCAAAAAAATGCTCTATTGTAGAGGCAATTTATCGGCTAGATGTCATTGTGTGGAGAAAGTTTTGGGGGATGACATGAAAAAATATAAATAAAAATTCATTTTACCCCCAAGGAAATGATTCCCCAAAACGAGTTGTACCTCAAAAAAATGCTCTATCATAGAGACAGTTTATATGCTAGATGACATGCTGAGAGAAAGCTTCTGAAGAGGTGGGTAGATAAGAAATATAAATAAAAGTTCATTTCATTTTCAGCCCCAAGGAAATGATCCCCTAAAACAAGTTGTACCTCAAAAAAATGTTCTATTATAGAGGCAATTTATCGGCTAGATGTCATTGTGTGGAGAAAGTTTTGGGGGATGACATGAAAAAATATAAATAAAAATTCATTTTACCCCCAAGGAAATGATTCCCCAAAACGAGTTGTACCTCAAAAAAATGCTCTATTATAGAGACATTTTATAGGGTACATGACATGGTGAGAGAAAGCTTCTGAAGGGGTGGGCAGATAAGAAATATAAACAAAAATTCAATTTCACCCCTAAGGAAATGATTCCCCAAAACGAGTTGTACCTCAAAAAAATGCTCTATTATAGAGACATTTTATAGGGTACATGCTATGGTGAGAGAAAGCTTCTGAAGGGGTGGGCAGATAAGAAATATAAACAAAAATTCAATTTCACCCCCAAGGAAATGATTCCCCAAAACGAGTTGTACCTCAAAAAAGTGCTCTATTATAGAGACATTTTATAGGGTACATGCTATGGGTGAGAGAAAGCTTCTGAAGGGGTGGGCAGATAAGAAATATAAACAAAAATTCAATTTCAACCTCAAGGAAATGATTCCCCAAAACGAGTTGTGCCTCAAAAAAATGCTCTATTATAGAGACATTTTATAGGGTACATGACATGGTGAGAGAAAGCTTCTGAAGGGATGGGCAGATAAGAAATATAAACAAAAATTCAATTTCAGCCCCAAGGAAATGATTCCCGAAAACGAGTTGTACCTCAAAAAAATGCTCTATTATAGAGACAGTTTATAGGGTACATGCTATGGTGAGAGAAAGCTTCTGAAGGGGTGGGCAGATAAGAAATATAAACAAAAATTCAATTTCACCCCCAAGGAAATGATTCCCCAAAACGAGTTGTACCTCAAAAAAATGCTCTATTATAGAGACATTTTATAGGGTACATGCTATGGTGAGAGAAAGCTTCTGAAGGGGTGGGCAGATAAGAAATATAAACAAAAATTCAATTTCACCCCCAAGGAAATGATTCCCCAAAACGAGTTGTACCTCAAAAAAGTGCTCTATTATAGAGACATTTTATAGGGTACATGCTATGGTGAGAGAAAGCTTCTGAAGGGGTGGGCAGATAAGAAATATAAACAAAAATTCAATTTCACCCCCAAGGAAATGATTCCCCAAAACGAGTTGTACCTCAAAAAAATGCTCTATTATAGAGACAGTTTATAGGCTAGGTGACATGGTATGAGAAAGATTCTGAAGGTGTGGCAGATAAAAACTATAAACAAAAATTATTTTTCACCCCAAGGAAATCATTCCCCAAAACAAGTTGTATCTCAAAAAAATAGTCTGCCATAGAGAAATTCGCATTTACCACTCTGCAGTAAAATTTCAATAATGCTCATTTAAGTTGACACGACTCTTACATCATAGGCGGGTTTCCTTTAGTGATATTCACGTGAAAAACAAATCCATCGACGATATATCTTGGCATGTCCTGTTTCCTTTTTATTGCTTGCACCAGATCCTCAGCCTTTATATCTGTAAATTACTTTGGTTAGAGGTAACATCTTACATATTTTCCAATCGATGCTACAATTTCGCACAAAATAAAGAGAAACAACCACAACGCTCAAAGTAGCTTGTACGTACGTAAATAATATAATCTCTAACAATACAAGATACAGATTAAAAATGTATAATAAAATCATTTACAACAAAAAATAACGTGTATACTTTAACTTTACTTATTTAAGCTCGAGTAGTAAGAGGGGGAGGGGGGGGGTAAGGCATTTAATTTTGTTTTCATTTGTTTCTTTTTATGAATGTATGATAACTCAAAATTTAGAACTAGCCGAGCAAAATTGATGAAGTTATTGGTTTTTAAGTATTCGTATCGACATAAAAAAACCTTGAAAACATGCATTTTTAACCTTCCTCCCTCCTTAATCTGGAAATGAATGTGAGTCTGAAAATATACACTACTAAAAAAATTAAGGAAGCAAGAAAAAATCCAAATTTTTTGGTGATCTTTGACAGGCATTTTGTAGCTTTAAGATACTAGTTTTCAGGTATTTCAGCCGAATAATTTTAGGAGCAACTGTTCTCATGCAATTCTAACAGATAGCACAAGAAATTTTTTTTTCAAAATTTGCAAATCTCGGTGCGATCATTTAATCAAAAGAATCCTTTTGTCATAAACCACTGATATTTCGGTAACCAATAATCGCACAGAGAACGTATTTCCGAAAACTGAAATAAATCTCCTATAAGATTTGATTGCAATCTTTGAGGAATTCTTCTCAGTATTGAATTTAAAAACGTCAAAGAAGCTACTTTTTGCTTTGTTTTGGAAAATTGATCGCATCTGCGCTATCTGTTCGAATTGCACCAAAAAAACAACCTATCAAAAATCACCGAAAAAATTTGATTTTTTTCTTGCCCCCTTATTTTCTTGAGTAGTGTATATTCACTTATCCGACAAGAAAATGTGCTATTGTGAACCTGTGGGAGCATCTGTAAGCCGAGCTTGTTTCTTCCATCTTGACATCGACGACCTCATGTTATCGTAGCTCTTCACTCTGGCTTCATTCGGGTAACTGCAAATCCCACTTCTGAGTAGAATAAAACTCTGATCGAGTCGAATTGACACTGTATGTTTATTTGGCGTCTCAATATCTAGTAAGGCAACCAATCCTTGCGATTAATTGGAATTTGGTATCTAAAGAAACCCTGTTTCCTGTTATAAAGTCGCCGATGTTTCGGAATAGAAAAAGAATGTTTAAAAAACCAAAGCTACATGTACATGGATTAACAATTTAAATAATAAAATCGAATGTTACGAAATTATAAAAAAGTGCTGTTCAAACTCATCCCCGAATTAGATTGACAAGATAGTAATTCCCAGCATACGAGGTGTGTAAATTAAGTAATGAGATTAATGGCGTGGAACGTTGGAATGTTATCGACTCTCTCTTTGGGTGATTTTTCAACTTCGGGAAGGGAAAAAGTCACAAGGTCTCAAATCAGGCGAATAAGGAGGCTTTTTTCTGATAATCGAACACGGAAAGAAGTGTTTATTCGTTTTTTTAATATCTATCTAATCCTTTTATCTTTGTTTCCTTTTCATTTTTTTTCGTATGTATATATTGGGAATTATTGTCTTGGTAATGTAATTCATGGATGATTTTAAATAAAATAAGTATCTTTTACTTCGATTTTATTATTAAAATTCTTCATTAAAGTATATATGTAGTTAGTTTTTCAACATTTTTTTATGGTATATAACAGGAAACTGTTTCTTTTGACCCCAAATTCCAATTAATCCATAATCATTATAAAAATCATTATAAGAATATATATTTTTTTAACAACCGCACATGGGCTTTATAAGGTAACCTATTTTTTATTCTGAGGCCCGGGCCCCTCCACACGTAACTCCTAGACCGATTTTAACATCTGGATTGTCAACTCGACCCATTAAAATCAATTTTCATCCATACCTTTCCGCGACCCGACTGTACATATCCTTTAGGCGCATATTCACTCCGCTTTGGCAAAGTTGCTTTAAATCATGCAAAAAGTCCATA